ACTCTGAAATATTAAACATCAACATCAGTAAACAATCATAACCCTGAAATAATAAACATCACCATCAGTATACAATCATAACCCTGAAATATTAAACATCACCATCAGTAAACAATCATAACTCTGAAATATTAAACATCAACATCAGTAAACAATCATAACCCTGAAATATTAAACATCACCATCAGTATACAATCATAACCCTGAAATAATAAACATCACCATCAGTATACAATCATAACCCTGAAATATTAAACATCACCATCAATATACAATTATAACCCTGAAATATTAAACATCACCATCAATATACAATCATAACCCTGAAATAATAAACATCACCATCAATAAACAATCATAACCCTGAAATAATAAACATCACCATCAGTAAACAATCATAACCCTGAAATAATAAACATCACCATCAGTATACAATCATAACCCTGAAATATTAAACATCACCATCAGTAAACAATCATAACTCTGACATATTAAACATCAACATCAGTAAACAATCATAACCCCGAAATAATAAACATCACCATCAGTAAACAATCATAACCCTGAAATAATAAACATCACCATCAGTAAACAATCATAACCCTGAAATAATAAACATCACCATCAGTAAACAATCATAACCCTGAAATAATAAACATCACCATCAGTATACAATCATAACCCTGAAATAATAAACATCACCATCAGTAAACAATCATAACCCCGAAATAATAAACATCACCATCAGTAAACAATCATAACCCTGAAATAATAAACATCACCATCAGTAAACAATCATAACCCTGAAATAATAAACATCACCATCAGTAAACAATCATAACCCTGAAATATTAAACATCAACATCAATAAACAATCATAAACCTGAACTAACAATGTTTAACTTTTCTACATGTTAGTGATTCTGATGTTGCCATTCTTTTCAAATATCAGAAAATCTTAAATTTTTCTTAACATGTTTCAGGTTCTGTTTTAATATTTAACACTGACCTCTGGTAGCTCAGATATAAACTGAGA